CCTCCTCGGAGCATCCTGGACTGCTTCTTGAAGTCGTCATGGGACCTTCTTGGCATGTCTTCGGGGGCCTCTTAGAAAGAGTTTTGAAGCCTTTTGGGTGCCGTCTTGGGGCCTCTTCTGGGGGGACCTCTTGGGGCCTCTTGGGGGCCTCTTGGGGGCTTCCTGGGGGCATCTTGGGGCATCTTGGGGGCATCTTGGGGCGGAGAGCTTGATTTTTCAATTCGCGTTCCCTCTCTTGGGCTCCTCTTGGGGCCTTCTTGGGACCCTCTTGCGCCGTCTTGGGCGGCTCTGGGGCCGTCTGGGGCATCTCTTGGGCCGTCTTGGGGCCCTCTTGTGGGCCTCTTGGGCCGCCTTGGAGCGGTTTGGGGAGCCTCTTAGGCGGTGCTTTAGCGCCAGAAACACGAAACTCGGGTCGGGCGAAAGGGGAGGATACCAAAGGGGGGGTTTGAGAACCAGCTCACGTAGCTGATTTTCCCGGCGCCTCCCGGCGCCGGAGGCGGCCATGTATCGAGGAATGGACCCGGCGGCGGGGCCGAAACCAGCTGCATGCAGCAGAGTTCGTAACCCCCGTTTCCCTATCCCCCCCTTTCGTTCGGCCCGAGAAACAGCGAGAATACAAAAACATTGAACAAACACATGAAAATCAACGATTTTGCCCTCTCGGGGCGCTCTTGGGCGGCATCTTAAAGGCCTCTTGAAGCGTCTTGGGGGCCTCTGGGGTAATTTGAAACGCATCGCGCGTCGCCAGAGACCCCTGGATGGCGTCTTGGGGGTGACTCGAGACCGCCTGGGGCCGCCGGGATTGCTGTCTGAGGCACCCCGGGGCGATTCTAAGCCTCCCAAAGGCGGGCCTGGGCCCCAGTCCCCACATTTGCGGTCGAGGTTCCGGACCTCGGCCCCCAAGCCTGGTGCGCCGTTATATGTATACTGGGAGAGACAGAGAAGGAGAGAGAGAGAGAGAGAGAGCAAGAGAGAGAGATGGGCAGATAAAAAAACGAGAAACAGAGAGAAAGAGAGAGAGACAGAGAGAGAGAGAAACAACAAAACAAGTGTATATATATAGATAGAGAGAGAGAGAGAACGTAAGAAACCAACTATTTATACATATGTATATATATATATATATATATATATATATATATATGCATTGAGAGAGAGAGAGAGAGAGAGAGAGAGCGAGAGAGTGAGAGAGATACAGAGAGAGAGAGAGAGATGGGAAGAGAGAGGGAAGAGAGAGAGAGAGAGCTGAAGGTGCCACATCTGGCGCTCTGTGGCACTGGGCGACTCCTTGGGGGCCCCGGGTGCTCCGCTTGACCCCTTTCTCCTCCCGGCGCACCTCCCGCTCCACTCGCCCTCACCATCCCTCCCCTTCTGCCCCCTCGTCATCCTCCTCCCCCTCCTCGCCATTCTCTGTCCTCTTCTCCCTTTCCATCTCCCCACTCTCCCCTCCATCCCCATCTCCCCGCTCCTCCTCCTCCTCCTCCTCCTCCTGCTACCCCTACCCGCCTTCTTTCTTGGCCATTGCCTTAACACACATCACTGACGGCTGCACCTAACGCTCCAATCACTCACCTCGCCCCGCTCTCTACCGCGATCGCTTCGGACTCAAACACACAATTACGACCAGACAGACATTGACCTCGTGTGCCAGGAAGCTCCTGCATGTGCTGAAGAGCCCAGCTGCGACAGAAGCTGAGGCAGCTGCGGCACGCGTGCTCCCCCGTTCCCCCCGTCGGTCTGCACGATGATGTTCGCATGCATCGGATAAAGCTGTACTAGGAGCATGCTGCTCCGGAGAGTCCCCGTGCTCATTGTGACATGTGCGAACCCATCTGCGACTTTGCTGTGCTTCCTGGTCGTCCACAACACCAGGTTATCACATTCACTTGGTGGTCTCAGTGCTTTTTTATTCATAGAAAACGTAAGCAATACGCACTTGCTGATTCGCTGAACGGTTGGGTCACCTTCTGGACGGAACATGGCAGCCCCTCCAGCAGAAACCCAACGGCTGGCTTTCGCATGAATCAAGGGCATCCCTCCCTCGAGTCCCAATTTCATAATGCCGCTAGCGTGCCAAGTCCATCATATGTTTCCTCGTTCATCGCCTCCACAATGCAGCGGTTGTTTGTTGGACAGCCTCCGTGGAACAGAAACAGCGAACTTGGTTTCGGATTGGGTACGTCCACCGCCCCATAAATGTGATCAACCATTTTTTTGGTTTGACATCAACATCGCTGAAAAGAATGTGCCACCTCAATCAGAGCTGTCCGAGTCGGCAGCACTGATCCCCTCCTCAAGAGACCTGGCGACCTCTGCTCGAGGGCATGAGCACACACCCTCAAGCACAGCAGCGCTAGAGACAGAGGAGGAGGGGGATAAGTGTGATCAACAAACCTGGGCAACTCGGACGCAAAAACGTCTACGTGCACCCGGTCCCTGTGTGCCCACCGCTGGGCCCCCCGGGACCTTCGCCACGAGGTCTTCCCAATTGTGCGCTTGCGCCGCCCTGCCCGCTGTGCCCATGCTTCCCTCCGCCGACGCTCTCCTCTCTTGCTGCAGGTCTCGCACTCGCCATCGCTCGGACGTCCATTCCCTTTGTTTTTTTCGGTTTCGTGCGTGGTTTTTCGCCAAATGATCAAGGATGCTCCTCGATGGTCCTCGCCGAGAAAAAAATGCACACGTCCGAGCGATGCCAGGCGCATGACCTCCCAGGTTTGTTTTGATCTCCTCGTGCGTGCGCTGAGCAACGGCCTGCAGCAAATACCAATTCGAAAGCTGTCCCTCCACACAGACTTGCGGTCTGCGCGCAATTTGCGTACGCGTATCGGCTGCACCCCATGAATACCGAACCATGATGTAACGTTAGACGTTGCCACACATAACATGGCAGCTTTGTGCCATCGCATGTGCATAATCGACTTAAGACTTTTAGCTCCAATCGCCACAGCTCTTAAAATGATTAAGCATGCGACTCCCAACCTGATGCACCGAATGCTGCTGACGATTGTAGGATTCTTCCCCATGCTCGGATCTTCTCTTGCACTGGTCTCAAGCCATTATGTATGAGAAGAAAGAGCCAGACAACCAATTTCTGCACATTGCGGCCGGTGCCTGGCGGCCGCACCAACTGACCCCCTTTGGCTAATAGACTTCTCCAATATGACTATATATTCCGTGCGCTTGACATGTACTGCCCTACAGCGCAGTGCAACAGCAAGTAATTTCAAGTCTGCCACCGTCCCCGCCAACAACGCGCTGCAACGATCACGGCTTCCGAGAAAAACTACTGGCGTGTGGCGACGCTGCGAAGTCATCGATAATATTTTGCGTTTGGCGTGCACGACGACCAGACATCAACAGCGCATTGCCTGCCCATACCATGTTTGTGGTATGCAATATCTCGGCTCGCCATCAAACTGCATCGCGTCGGGAGGGGGATGGCAAGATATGCTCGCACATGTTTGCGCACATGGCGTGATGATGCATTACACGACCATTATTTTATTCGGCTCGTGCAGGATACAAGGTGTAATGATATTTTCGCACCTGCCTCTCGGCGGCACGCATCAAACGAACGAGTTGTTGAAGTGCAGGTGAAACTGATTTCCCTTGCCCTCGGCTGGCATAGTGCCGTATCGAATTCCGACACCAAGGGCGCGGGAGGGGGGGAGGAGAAGGAAGAGAAGAGGAAGGAGAGCGGAGAAGGAACACGAACAACGTACTGCAAAGCATGCGCCTTCGGACGACGTCCAGTCGTGGGCATGCGCAAGCCAGGGGCGGCGCAGGAGGCGCCGCAGAGGGGCCCCCCCGCGCGGATCCAAGAAACTAGAGCGGAACGCCAAAAGCTTATGTTCATGGCGTGTTTTCTTATCCGAAAGAAGCTGTCTGGAACCTGGACCCGCAATGGAATGACACAGCACCATGCGAGGCAAAGGCGGCAGCAGGAGGGATGCGGTGGCAAGGCGAGGCCAGTCGCAAGCCCATGAAATTGGCCCAGCGGCCTCTCCAGCCAAGCCACACGAGCCCCACAAGAGAAACGCAAAACCAGAGGCCACCTAGATGTGGTCCGAGTAGATGGGGTCGAAGGATCGCGCCGCATCGCCAATGCATCACCGATGTGTCGGCGATGCATCGGCGATACATCGGTGACGTCGCCAAGGCATCGGCGAAGTCGGCGTGGGGAATCACGGTCTTCACATCGAGCCGCATCGTCGATGCATTGGCGATGCGGCGCGATCCTCTGGATCCTCCAACCCCTTCTACTCAGTCCCCACCCGGGAGGCCTAGAACAACGCTCACTGGAACCGAGGTCCGCAGTGTAATGCTTTCTGTTTTGTTTTTTTGTTGTTGCTTTGTTTTGTGCTTGTTTTTTTTTTGAGTTTCACAAGCGAAAGGAGGCACGCCTGCAAATTCGGGAACGAGCACGTATTCAAACGTCATGGGCTCCGCGCGCAGAGAACCAAGAATCTTGACAGGTCCTCGACTCGTTCGCCTCGACTCTCGACCGACTCACAGGACAGGAAGAGGTCACGTGACGCGGGTGCCAGGGGGGAATTCAGCAACCCATCGGAACAGCACCCGGCGGCTCCATCGTCGGCCGTGCCGGCTCTTGCCGCGGCCAATGCTGGGGCCGCACGTACAAGGCCCCAACAATGGCTCTTGCACACATCAATTTCACATGCTGTCGCTTCACGCAGCTGTGCCTACTTTGTTTCCAGACACTCAAGGCGCTCCTCCTCGCAACTGCTAGCTGGGGTGGCTGCACATGTGAAGACGTGACAGGTCAACCCAGCTGCACTCCGTCCAGAGTCGGGGCAGAATTCAACATACGCTCAAGTTGAAAAATATCAGAGACCATCAATATCGGCACAATGGAAACGTGCGATCTGGGAGAGAACGTGATCCACCGCCGCTTTACTGTGGAAAATTGCCGCCCTTTTCCTCCGGAGCCCGGGGTTCCCTTTACTGTGGAAAATTGCCGCCCTTTTCCTCCGGAGCCCGGGGTTCCCCCCCCCCTCCGCAAAATCCCACCCCCCCCCCCCCTGCTGGAACCCCTCCCACTTCCCCCGGCAACCACCCCCCCCACCCCCCCCCCCCCCCCCCCCCCTTCGAACTCGAAAAACGGGGGGGGTCACTACCGGTTCGAACCCCCCCCCCCCTGGAAAACCGGAGGGTGGGGTCACTACCGGTTCGAAGCCCCTCCCCACACCCCCTCTCGCCGCCAGCAAACGACTCCCGGTCCCTACCACCGTCCTCACCACATCCCCCACTGTTGTTCCCAGCACCACTGTCCTCACCACCACTGTCCCCACTGGTTCCACCACCGTCCCTATTGTCCCCACCAATGCCACCACCACTGTCGCACTGTCCCCACTGTTCCCACCAACTGTTCCCACCACGGTTCCACTCTCCCCACTGTCTCCACGGACCCAACCACTGCCTATCCCCACTGTCCCCACTGTCCCACTGACTCCTCCGCTGTCCCACTGTTTCCCACCACTGTCCCCACTGTCCCCACCACTGTCCCCACTGTACCTCTGTCCCATTGTCCCACCGCCGTCCTCGCCACCGCCATCACCACTGTCCCCACCACCACTGTACCCTCCACTGCCCTACTGTTTCCACCACATTCCCACTGTCCCCACACCACTGTCCCCACCACCACCGTCCCCACCACTGTCCCACTGTCCCCACTGTTCCCACCATTGTCCTCACCATTGTCCCCACCACTACCGTCCCCACCACTGTCCCACTGTCCCCACCACTGTCCCGCTGTCCCCTCACCACTGTCCCCACCACCACCGTCCCCACCACTGTCCGCACCCCCCCTCGGTTTTCGAGAGGGGGGGGGGGGGTTCGAACCGGTAGTGACCCCCCCCGGTTTTCGAGTTCGAGGGGGGGAGGGGGGGGGTTCGAACCGGTAGTGACCCCCCCCCTTTTCATGATGAACTGGGGGGGGGGGAGGGGTTCGAACCGGTAGTGACCCCCCCCCGGTTCTCCAGAGGGGGGGGGGAGGGGTTCGAACCGGTAGTGACCCCCCCCGGTTTTCCGCCAGCAGCGGTAGAACACGCTCTTTCCGATGTGGTGGTTTAAAAGCAAAACTCTTCGCTCAATCACACGATGGTGATGCCATGGTACATGACGCCCGCCCTCTCGAGGAGCCCACTGTCGGCGGCGCGCGACACCAGCTGCGTGGTTTGCTCCCGGCACTGCGGGAAGTCCAGCACTCAGTCCTCGGCCATGCCGCGCAGCTGCTCGAAGGCACCGCGCACCTCGCTGCCGGACCACGCCCTCCCGAGCAGCCGCGAGACGGCCAGGAGGGCCGCCTCCGACTCGCCCGTCTCGATCCCCGTCGCGAGGAGCTTGCGTACGAAGGCGGTCTGCTGCTTCTCCGAGAGGTGCAGCTCCTCCGAGATGTGGGCGAGCTCCTCCACGTCCCTCGAGCCGAAGAACTCCAGGATCGCCTCGCGAACCTCCTCCCTTGAGCAGAGACCGACCGTCCAGGCATTCCTATAGGCCTACCACGACATGTTCGTAGAGCCCACACATGTTCTAAGAACAATCGCAACGCTCTTAGAACACAGACCAGATGCGTTGAAACAAAACAGTCCCAGCCAGAAACGTGCCGAGAACATTTCGTGGTAGCCACACAGCGTTCTTGGAACATTCTTTGGTAGGCCTATAGGCACGCCAGGACGCTTCGCCACTGCTTGCCTCCCCGAAGCGGCGCGCGTCGCCGGAGCTCCGAGCCTTGCGGGAGTGCAGGGGGGAAATCCGCCGCCGGGCGGCCCGCAGCGCCTGGCTGCCGCGCGCGCCGCCGAAGAGCGGAGCCGGCAGGCGCTCGTGGGGCACTCGGCGGGGAGCAGCTCCCGCTCCGCTGCGCCCGCGAGCAGTGCCACGAGCACGAGGTGCTCCGCGGTGCCCGGCTGGGTGGCTTCGATGCCCTCCGCCGCGTCCCGCAGCCGCGGGAGGCCGAGCTGGACGTCCACCTCGTCCTGCTGCCAGGACCTCGGCGGCGCTGCGCAGCTGGCCGAGCATGCCGAGCACCAGGCCCCGCCTCTCCGCCAGCAGCCCCCGCGTGGTCGAAGCACGACGTCCGGTACGCGTTCGGGTTCCCGACCGAGGAGTCCAGGCGAGCTCCGAGGACCACCCCGTGGTGCAGGGCGGCCTCGTCCGCGGCGCGCGGCCACCTCCCCAGCCAGACCCCCGACGTCATGATTTTTCACTGCGTCGACCCCTGGAGGTCTCGACCCCTTCCCCTGGACAGGCGTCTCATCCTGGGTCGCTTTTGGACGGCCCCGAGGCCCGGCGTGGGCCCCGGAGGCCGAACATAGCGAAAAATCTCCCTGCGGGACTGGAAAATGACCACAGCCACTGCTTCTTGTTTGCGCCACCTTCCAGCCGGCCGAAAAAGAAGCAGTGGTTGTGGTCATTTCCCTGGTGCCAGGCTCAACGAAAATGACCACAGCCACTGCTCTGTTTCTGCGGACTGGAAGGCGGCAACAGAAGAAAAGCGGTGGCTGTGGTCGCTTTCACGCCCCGTAGCCCCGTCGTGGTTTTTGTTGTTCCCTGCCCGAGGGCCGAGGGGCTCGGGGCCCGCGGCGCGCAGCCTCCTCGTCGGCTCGCCCGTGGCGCGGCCGCGGAAGGGGTCGGCCTCCAGGCGCGCGCGGAGCTCGGTCCTGACCTGCGCGCGGCTGCAGCTCCTCCAGGGTGCACCGCCAGCGCCCCGCACGATCCGCGCCCCCTCGGCGAGCTCTCGCGCTGCAGGAGGCGGAGGAGGGGAGGCCCTCTGGCATCCGCGCGAAGAGGCCCTTGCCGCACCTTGCCTGCTCGGAGATCCGGCCTTCTCCGAGAGCAGCGCGACCAGCTGATCTGGCGCTCCCGGTAAACCCAGCTGCAGGTCTCTCCGCCCCAGCATCAGGTCGGGCATGTCCCCCTACACAGGCGGATTCTGTAAGAGAAATAGAACATGCTCAACAAAAACGCTCAAACATGGTCCAAAAGAGTAGGGAACTCTTCCCCAGACTACATTGTTTGACTATTCTTTTGAATATTTATCCTGTAGAGGAGGGACATGTACGACTTAACACCAGCACGAGCTTCTCGAACCCCCGAACGAGCTGCGCGTCGGCGAGGTGGCACCGGCCTTCCGCTCCGCCTCCTTGCGATCCAGGGCGGCACGCAGCAGCTGGTGCGCCAGCTCGTCGTGGAACGATGGGGAGGCCAGCGCCTACACGGAGGCCACCATGCCGCCCACGCCCCCAGAGCAGAAGAACTCGCCGATCAACGCGGAAGCGCGCCGGCGGAACTCCTGGAACTCCAGCCTCGGGACCTCCGTGGTGCTCTTGGCGGCGGGCGCCGGCGTGCTGCAGCCGACCAGGCGGCAGGTCGGGCCACCGTCCCGACAGGCCGCCGAGGGGGAGATCTGCCGAGCTCGAGCTGCACGGAAGCCGCGCTCTCCAAAGCCGGGCCCGCCTCCGCGTCGACCTCGGGCGGCGCCTTGCAGTCCGGTGAGCCGACTGCGCGCGAGCTCATCTCGAAGCGCACCGGACCGCTGCGCCCACCGCGCGGCGAAGGGGGGGGGGCGGGGTCGCCCTGCAGCGGCCGCGGGCGCCGCGGGCCCGAGCTGACGGGGCCTCTCGGCGGAGAGGGGCCTGGGAACCTGGGCTCGAGCCACAGCGCCGTCCGGAGCAGGCCCAGACCCACTGCCGGATGACTGTGTGCGTGAGAAAAACAAGCCGGCACAACTGGGAACCATCCGAGACGCCCCATATACCCGAAGATGGATCCGACGCCACCTTGACCTTTCGCGGAGAACTTCAACAGGTCCTCGCCTTTGTGGCTTCACATGGGCTCCTGAGTCCTAAACGTAGTCCCAAGATAGCCCAAGAAGACACACGATTGTACCTTAATTAGCCCAGGATGTCTCCAAGGTAAGTCCCAAGAGGCGATGTCTCGGCCTTGGAAGGAAGATGGGGAGAACGAAGGTGCAGACGAGGAGGGGACGCTTAGGATCCGCGCCAGTTCAGACAGAGCACTGAACAGGAAATGGTCCTAACCCAATTCTCCTTACTGCTGCATTGGCGCGGACTGCGGGGCTTGCCGCAGGCAGCCGTGCTTTCCCTTCCCCCTCACCCTCGGCCCTCAGCTACTCCAACTTTCCCATTCCTCCTTCTCCGTGTCTTTCCCCTTCCCAATTCCTCTCCCCCTGTTTTCTCCGTCCTCCTTCTCCTCCTCTTCCTCCTCCTCCTCCTCATCCTCCTCCTTCTCCTTCTCCACCTCCTCCTCCTCCTCTTCCTCCTCGTCTTTGGTTGGGCCGACTCTGGGTGCAGAGCCTGCATCGCACCTCGGGTGTAGGAAGAACAACGGTTTGTGCCCAGTGAGGACATAATGAGTTGGGCGGCAGGCCCGTGCGGTACGGGAGAAGCAAACTAATTTATAGGAGCAGCGAGTGCCTATCCTCCTCCTCCTCCTCGTCCTCCTCCTCCTGCCCCTCGTCCTCCTCCTCCTCGTCCTCCTCCTCCTCCTCGTCCGCCTCATCCTCCTCCTCGTCCTCCTCCATTCCTTTTCCTTATCAATAACTTCTCCCTGTCGCACCCCGAGGTCAGTCGGAAGGGCGGGCCGGGCGTTTCGCCGTCGCCTGGGACGTGCTCACCACTACTGGCCCTGAAGCTTTACCATTGGCAGCAGTGTCACAGATGGAAGGCGGCTCGCTTCCAACATGTGCCTCTCGCCTGCGCCTCGCACATTCGTCTTAAGAAGGTTGCAAAGAATTGCGCGCATAGAGTGCGGTTCTTTTTCAAAATGTGGCTCTCGCCTCAGCACCGCGCACATTCGTTTTAAACATGTGCATGATGTTAACCGATTGAGGGCGGGGCATTTTCAAAATATGGCTCTCGACTTGGCGCCGCGCACATTCGTCTTAAGCATTCGCAAGGATCTCACGTATTCCCATGGTCAAAACACCAGAAATGGTGCTTTGGAACGACTCAGGATTGTC